GTTCTATGATACATACAGACTGCGGTTCTCATTAAGCAATGAAGCCCAGGTGAAAAACAAAAGGGCAACATGATATCAGATCATAAGAAGCCATCATGTTTTGCTTTTAAACTTCCTTTGAGCTTTCAAATCCACCACGATTACAGTAATGTTGTCCTTACTTCCTTTTTGAAGAGCACGGTTAGAAAGCAACTCCGCAGCTGCCTGAGCTGCGAGATCAATTCCTTCGCCTCTTTCCAGAGGAAGTGGAGTAACGCCATTCTTCTTGTGCCAGAGAAGTATTCGTCTCCGAGCAAGGTCACACACTTCTTCATTTGACATAACATCCCATAAACCATCACTGGCTAAAATGAGGCATTCGTCATCTTTTGTTCGAGGAATAAACATCACTTCTGGCTCTGGAATGATCCACGGTTTTAAATATCTATCGCCTGCAACTCGAAACCAAGGTTGAAATTTAACTTTACGAAGTGTTGGACTACCCAAGTTTGACCAGGATGTATTTTTTCTATGTACTTTGGTTAGAAAATAAGTTTGTGTCTAAAAAAACACATATCATGTTTGGACCTAACATCAAATTTTCATGAATATATGATTTCTGGACAAAGTTTAGTTACTACTTTACTGTAGATATATTAGTATTATGAAAAGTACTACAGAAGTCCTCCATGAAAGAAGCATGGAATTGCGAAAGAAAAAAAAAATTATGGTGAAGCACATACCTATAGACCTCGACATAGCAAGAACACCAAAAACACGATGCCCATTCCATTGTATGACCTTGCCCCCAGCTGCCTCAATCCTTGCATATTCATCTTCCCGATTTGGCTAAAATAACGAATGCAGATCAGTTTGCATAATCAGTAATGAACTATAAGATACAGTAGTTCAGTTAGAGAACCTTACTTTATGATCCACTGATAATGCCATGGGTTCTTTACCACGACACAGAACTGCTCTTGAATCTCCACAGTTTGCTACTATTATATGAGACGAACAAATAAGGGCAACAACAGCAGTGGAACCAACAGTTTCCGGGGCAATAGGCTCAAGACTAGCCTTCCCTCCAACTTCTGCATCAACCTTGTGAAAACAATTGGTAAATGCTTTTCTCCATTGCTCTTGGCAATCATCTTTGATACTTTCATGAATAAGGCCTTCCTTAACGGACTCTATCTCTTCAACCAAAGCCAAATGTACACGATCACGACAATAGTTTGCAACCTAAACAAAGTGAAACCCAACCCCACGAAACACAGTTACTGGCAGAAAGACATTATATGCATGATATGCAGTAGGAAAAATATGCACAAGAAATAGATAAGAAATATGAAATGGTACCTGAGAGCCTCCATGACCATCATAGACTCCAAAGAAATGAACAGTCTGGTTTAAACACTTGCTCATGCCATCAAGTACCCGGTCGCCAATCAGCATTTGAATTGGAATTTTTAAAAGTTGAGGTACAGTGGCAAGTGCATCTTCCATCTCTGGTCTTCTTCCAATCATGGACGTAAACCCCCAAAGTGGCACATAGTCTACCTCAAAAACACTGCGGCTTACTGTTTCTTTGACCCCTGTTTCCACAGGCAATTGAACAACTTCAGATGGCTTTGGGTCAGACCCATCACGATTTTCTTCCTCAAGGCTCACCGTCATAGCAAGGGGGTCAGTTGTGATCTCTGTCTCAACTTTTGAATCACCCAAATCTGAAGCCTTTGCAACATCAACACAGCAAATGCTCTTCTCAACGTCTACAGAAGTCAGTGTCCCTATGTCAGGACTAGCCTCATAAACGAGGAAGTCTTCTAAACATAAGCTACTTGACTCACTAGCCACAGAGAGTGAACAAGAGCTATCAAGAATCTGATCGCCTTCCAATGATAGGGAATCATCTTCCTCACTTTCCCGAGCTATCACATCAGCAGCAGAAACCCAATTGCTTCCGTCTTGAGATATCATATCCAACAAAGGAGGTTCTCCTTCCTCGTCCTCTTTTGGCACTGAAACTTCTACAAAACTAACTTCATTCTCCAAATAACTACAATTACAGTCCTCTTCACCAGCTGCAACCGTCTCACTGGAACCCCTGGTGACAGAATCAGATAGCAACCCCGCCGTGTCTGTCATTAGCTTAAGTCTTGTGACATCCATGTGGGTAGCTATGTTTGGGTTATCACAGACTGAGTTACCTACTCTAAATGGCACCGTGACCGCCGGAGACATCTCCTCCATCAAAAACCTTATCTGGGCAGTACAAAAAGTTACCCTTCGACCCCTCTAACATCACACAACCTGTCATTTCTCAATTAATTGTTGACTTTCTTCTCTTATTGGGAATGATTTTGGAATGTGAATGGTGGGTTTTAACAGACCATTGTCCATGCCTAAGGCACCCAAATAAAGGCCAAAAGAGGGTGCAAATTCAGGAGATGTGAATGTATAGATGAGCTAAAAGGTGGTGAAAAGGAAATGGGTAGTCAGATCTGGCCAACAACAATGGATCCACACTTCTATTTGCGGAAATATGAGCCCTAAATAGGCTAAAAAGACATGTTTGAGGCCTTGTCAACTTCTTCTCTGGACTCTTCTCTATCTACCTCCATCAACTACGGCAGAAAGAAACAACCAGAAAAACCTTTAAATGCACAAATGAAAAACTGTAAAATAGAAAGATAAAAAAATAAACAAAAAATCAGATTAAATATGAAACCAACCCCTTATCTAAACACAAGAAAGAAAGAGAAAAAGGGGTCATGAGAAAGAAACCCAAGAAAGGCAAAGCCAAGAATCACAGGAAAACCCTATGAAGGAAAGCACCTTTTTTTTTTTTTTTATTTATAAAAACAATTACTTGACTTCCCTGGATCTGGGGCAAGCTATCTCGGCCTCTTGTAATTGAACTCTCTCTCTTTCAAATAATTATGACAATTATTAAGCAAGAAAAGAGAGAAGGTAAAAGAAAAAAGGAAAAGAAGAATCACTACCTAATTTGTCAACTGTATAGTCTTTTCTTCCCTCCCTTTCACTGGACTCTCTCTCTCTCTCTCTATCATTTTCTACGTCCAGAGACTTTATTTTAACAGCTGAAATCCATGGGAAGGATCAAAAAAATCAAGAAACAGGATATGGGGATGCTTACCATTTAAAAAATCAGCTCAAATATGACTTCTTTTTTATACACGTACCTGGAGCTGAGACTTGCAAGCGCAAGAAAGGGAGTGGAGAGAAGAAATACCCAAAATAAAGTAAAAACAATAAGAAAATAGAGAAAAAAAAATTAGGACTAGAGAGACTGGGGAGTGTATTTGAAGAGTGAGAAAAAGGTGACACATGTCAAATCTAGAAGAGCATATTGAAGCATCTCCACCCATCCCATGATCTTTTCCCTTTTCATTCTCTAATCCAAAATTATTATCAAAATACTTTAAAGGGTTTTTTACATATTTGCTAATATTAAAAAGGGACTTTTCTCATATACCTTACAAGGTTTTTCTTTTTCTTTTTTTCTTTTTTTCTTTTGGCATAGGGAGAATACTTAATAGTCACAACTGCATTTTGTGAGGTTTTATATGGCTCAATAGAAAGTACATGTAAGTTTGTAACCTTAGAAACCAAAAGCGCAAATAAAAGACACACAAACACAAATTGAGAATTTGGTTAGCTAAATATGAAAACCAACCTACACTTGCACTTTAATCTTAATTTCAACAAATAATTATGCTTATAGACTGGCAAATTCCTTTTCTCAATTCCATTTTTCTGAAAATATTTTTCGAAAACGTTACTAAATAGGCCATATCAACTGAGCACCTACTATGTCATGTTGCATAGTAAAACTTAGTAGAAGCATGATGCATCAAGCGGAAAGAGCTATATGAATTGCTGTATACGTCAGACATAGTAGGTAGTGATATGATTTCAACGTCCAACTTCCACAAACTGTGCCATACCAACTTTTAAACCTAAATTCGTATAATTTGTATCCGTATAATACAATTTTCGTAATATACTTGGGGAAACATGGCATTTAGTTGTATAATTATTCATTAAGCTCTGCAAAATGTCTCAGCTTTGCCCTAATTTTCTTAAGAGTTTGCTGCATCTAGTTGACTTTTGCAATCATTAACTAAATCAATTATGGAAGAAAAGAAATTAGCATTTTCCTTTCCAAAAACAATGAGAAGTCAAAACGACAGTACCTTTCGAAATTTAGACAAACTAGACGCCTTCTCCCACATGGCTCAACTGTCCTTTGTACAAATCCACTAGAAAAATTCGTTACTAATAATCATTTGGCCTGAATAGGAAGATGAAATTATAAAATATTTTCCACAAATCTAGATTTGAAAACAGATAATAATACAAAAGTGAAGTAAAATACTGTCAAGTGTCCACTATTTATCTTTCTTTTTTTCGTTTTTTGTTTTTTGTTTTTTGTTTTTGTTTTTTTCTGAAAACAATGCCGAAACAAACAGAAAGAAAGTGAAGATGTCTCGGAGGCTCGGACTACCTGGCAGCTGGCTGACTGACTAGTGTCATAAAACGACGTCACCAAGTGACGCGAGTTACTCAAATTGAAAAATGAAACGGCCCACTTCACTTTTCTTATTGGGTCTCTCATCTTTTCTCCTCTTCTGGGTTTGGTTTGTAGGTCTCTCCGAGTCTGACCTAAAATTTAGGGCCTGACATAAAAAAAGGACCTAAAATTCGGAGCCCTCTCTCTTTTTCTCTCATTTGGGTCAGAGAAGTTCTGAGCCCAACCTCCCTTGAGCTGGGTTACACAAAGCACAAGCCAGGAAATAAAAAGAATAGAGAGATCTTGCTTGCTCTCATGTTCGATTGAGAACGACATTGAAAAAGTCAAACACAAAAGTTTCATTTAAAAAAAGAAAATTCCAAATCTCCCATACGTCCAAGGTGACATATTAAGCAAAGAAGAAGACCTTAGAATAGTGATATTAACAATGGAAAAAGAAGGCGTATAAAAAGACACCTCATAATTTGTAATATTCCATTTTGGACACAGAATAAGAGGTGTAATTCAAGTTCATCCCTTAAAAGATTACACAACACAACAGAGAAAATTCTCTCTAAAATGGCTACTACCGAGTTTCTTGGTAATTGGCTAAGTTGAATTATGATTTGGCCGGAAACTGCCGCTAGAGAAGGCAAGGATGATAACATTGCCAACCTGGGCAGCCAGGACACCAGTTCCAGAATTCTCAGTCAGACTACATTCTAACTTCTACTAACTCACAAAACCTTACTGAAGAAGGCAAGGATGACAACACTTGCCCTTTTCTGGGCCTTTATAGAGCTTTTCAATAGCTGCTGTACACTAAAATGGTAATATGGCAAGCTGTATGGCAGCCAATTCGGAAGATATGCCGAGTTTCTTTCCTTCTTTTTAAATTACGAACCCAAATTAAGCATATGAGCATATGTCTGCGCAGTCGGCTTGCCATTTTTCGTCCCCCGGGATTCGGTGTTATGGTAACATGGGATCACCAGATGATGCAAGCATATGTAACTCTGCTTCCTTGGCTGCCCGTTCACTAGTAAAATCTACTCTTGAATCACCTGCAGATATTAGAGACTAAACTTTAATCGACTAAGATTCATAACAGAATAACATCAGATAATACCAGTAAAGTAATAAGATCCTGCAAACAAGAACAAAGCATTAGATGGACAGTTAGGTGATATACTTTTCTGTCCAACTACATTTCCATGAAAGCAAAGGCCGGATTTCATACTAACAAGCAAAAGCCACATCGACAAAATTATCTACAAAACAATGTTATTAAAAGAAAAAAGATTAACCTAAAAGAATTCATGATGTCACCATTTTCATTTCTAAGTTTCTAACCATGTGCTACCTCTCCCTCTAAAAGAGGTTTGGGTTTAACCTACAGGAGGGAAGAGATTTGACGAGGGGGGTAGTACACCCCATTGAGTGAATGTTGCCATTTGATTATTCCATCACTCAGACTATTTTGTCTGAAATGAATTCCAGACATAACAAGCCCAGCATATTGTCTACCCACACCTGAAGCGTAAGATGGGGGTTTTGGAATTCACACAGGACATTCATTTTCACCATCAACGTGTATTATGCAAATGAAAATAAAATTCATTGCCAAAACTAGTATAAACTGAAGCGAATGTCATTGTCACCCCTATGCAAAGTCAAACATGAAGTAAATCTTGTATTTCTCTAGTACACAGACAAGAACAGCATACACTCAGGTGACGGATGCAACCAGAATTGAGCATGGAAAATCCACTCACTCAGAAGCACATGGATACTGACCAAATAAAAAAAACTAGTCGAAAATGCTTTTATGAGTCACAAAATTCCTCCCTCATGCCATGAGGAAAGAAATAGAAATAGAAAATAACGACCAGTCACCAATGGAGTCACAATTGCATACCAAAAACTTGGCGAAGCCCTTTTACAGCATCAAAGTTCTTGTATGTATAGCCAACAAAGCTTAGATCTTTGGGAGTCAATTGCAACTGCATGAAATTATAAGGCGATAAGGATCAACCGTCATACATTAGTACTAAATTATAAATTCCTTCAAAACGTGGCATGAGTTCGTATGAAAAGGCAATTGCAGATCTTGGTGGATCCTCTGGAAAATAGACATGAGACCTTTAAATATAACTAAAGGGCAATAATAATTTAAAGACCTTTCTTGCCTAATAATGCATATTCATTTCGAAAAAATGCTACACAAGATAAGAGATAAGCAAAAGCCAATTGATATTGATTTTCTACAACCAAATCCCCCTGTCACAAAATTAAAAAACAGAATTTTTGGCATCAAATGGCGCTACTACAGATTTCACAGTGGCTGGCTAATGTTTACAATTTTAACTTGAGAAACCGCATCAAAAAGAAAAATACAAATAAAAAAGGAAACACAAACAAAAATTTGAAGAAAAAAAAAAAAGAAATCCGGGTTTGATATTTTCTTTTCCCTATGGAACGTCTACTGGGTTGTCTCTTCAAAAGGACAGATAATCATAATACCAACTGACTATGCAAAGTATTACATAGCATGTCTTATATAATGATGTATGCATATCATGAGTACATAAACAGTATGTATAGTTTGCAAACCTTTCGTGAGGGTCCTGAGCCAGTTCTTGATGACACTGGAGGCTCCAACTAAGCACAAATGCAAAAGATGTAGGAAATCAATAAACACATTATGTTTCATGGTGACGTAATGGAGCTTCTAGATATCACATAAATGAAAGCGTAAAGGAGCTAAAAAGGTGTAAATTAGTGGAACTGTTATAGCAGTAATATTAGTAGAAGAGTAAAAGAAGAAACAATAATGTTGATGCAAATATAAAGAAACCATGAAATAAGAAAATATAAGGATGATATTGTACAATACCTCGTCAAACTTCATAAAGTTCTGGGTATCAAGTTCCCCATTCACTTCTGGTTTGAATGCTGCCTCCATTTCATAGAGTTTGTCCCACACAATGTTCTTGAACCAAGGATGAGACTGAAACAACAAAGTTATACAATTATAAGGCAAAGAACATATCGATGTGAGGATCCCAAAAAACATTTTATTTAAATACGAGAGCCTCACTTTGATTTGATGTGCGCCACCAGTACCTAGCCTATATTCAACATCACATAGCAACTTGCAAATAAGATCCTTAGCCTCAGCTGTCAACCTTGCATCTTCTGGAAATTTTAAGTGGTTTCTCCAATGAACAATCTGACAGAAATTGACAAATAGAGTGAGGAGAACTTTGTATATGAAACGGAAGTGACCTTGGCTCACACCTATGACTCACCATGGAAACTTTGCACTCAGAGTTATGTGAGGGTTATTAAGCATGTTACCTTTCTGCATGTAGTTATTGGATCATCTGAATAAAATGGAGGGTAACCAACAAGCATTTCATACATTATTGCTCCCAATGACCACCTAAATCAAACAATGCATATCACCAACAAAAAAGATGACAGAAGGCGAGAGATAATAAAATATTCAATTATCAGTTACCAGTCGCATTCCATTCCATATCCTTTCTTCAATAGCACTTCAGGTGCAATATAGTCGGGGGTCCCCACAGTTGAAAATGCCTATCCAAAAAAAAGGGGGGGATATAGTGAGGGAAACGTTTTAAGGGGTAAGGCTGAAGATGTACTGCAAAAACAAGTCAGTAAAGATGTTAGCGTACCAACTTCCTCCTGTTCATCTGCCAATGCTGCAGCTGTTCACGGGGGCTTTTCCAACTACTCCTATTATCCGCATCAGGAACGCATACGTCGATATCCATTGGTTCTGTCAAATTTTCATCATCCAAAGTTCTATTTTCATGCAGTGCAGGTAAAGTTGTACAATCAAGAGGCTTACAGAGGCCAAAATCTGAGAGTTTCATGTGACCATTTTTATCCAGAAGAAGGTTGTCTGGTTTAATGTCTCTGAAAAGGCAGTGAATACAAAGTGGTGAGACAAGACTAAATACCTAATGCATACAAATATCAACCCAAAATAATACATCAACCAACAAATATTTTGATAACAAAAGAATAATTTAATAACATGAGAGTAATATTTGTCTTCAACCTGTGTACATAGTTGTGTTTCTGGATAGATTCAATGGCCAGTACACTCTGTGCAATGTAAAATTTAGCCACACTTTCAGTTAAGGTGTCTTCCCTCATCAGCAAAGTCATCATGTCACCACCGGGCAGATATTCCATTATTAAATATAAGTACTCAGCATCCTGAAAGGAGTAGTAAAGTTTAACTATGCAATGGCTGGCAACTTCTGCCAGCAAGTTTCTTTCAGCTCTAACATGTTCCACCTACAAGGGAAAATGAAAAAAATATGACCAGCAATAGTTCAATGAAGAAAATCTTAGAACGAGTTCCAGTGGTAGGTTTGGAACAAAGTCACATGTATGGTCTTACCTGTCCTCTCTTAAGCATTTCAGATTTCTTCAACTTTTTCATGGCATAGATATTGCCAGATTTTTTCTCTCGACACAATCGAACCTGTAGTTTGAGCATGCATTAGGAAAGGTATGCTACTATCAGCAATTGCATTTGGAAAATATATAAGAAGCAAATAGAACAAGCATAGTTTCTGAAATGAAAGCTAACTTTAAGCTAACATGATCCAATGAACACTGAAAACCTTAGTACATTTACATTCTTAAGGATACTATGTTCAATACTGACCTCACCAAAGGCTCCCCTACCAATGATGGTCAAAGGCTCAAAATCATCAACACAAATCTTGTGCCTTTTAAGTCGCATGAATTCTGTTTCCTTTCGCTCTAAGTCTTTGATCAGGTTGACTTGTACCTCCTTTGGCACATCTGAGGAAGCTAATTTCCTTTCCAACACCCATCGTCTGCAACAAAAAGAAACATCATGTCAGTAATTCCTTAGTTGCATCTTTGAACTAAAACATTTTGCAGTGTCCTTGAATGATTTTCACCAGAATATTTAAATCTTAAGAATACAACACGGGGGCAGTAATCCCTATGAAAAAGCAAATTTTAGAAACTGAATAGAATATGCACACGTGATCTATCACATATCAGAAGATACCGACTCAATTGTTCATGCAAAGTTGCAGTGTTTGAGAAGAGAAGTTTCTTATTTGCCACTACCTAACCTTATAGAACTTTGATGTGGAACTCTATCAAAAGCAAAGGTGATAACGCTATCCTTAACCTCAAATTTTAGGGGACCCTTCTTAATTTGAAGATTTTGGGAAAGAAGAGCTGCCCTTGCAAGAGTGGACTCCACCAAATATCTGAGTATTGTTGATCAAGACTGGTTAAAATACTGACTGAGCATAATCTTGAATATTTTTAGAAAATCAATGTTTTCGCCGACAATTACTTGATATACATTTGAGGGTAGTAGTCTAATAGATGTACAGCCTAAATAAGAGCTGAGGTTTGAGCTTGTTGATGATGAGATGGTGCCAGAGGTTGCTTTGAGATCACAGAGCTCAATGAAGGCTAGGGATGCCATTGCTCATAATCTCTTGCACCATGGCCTTGCAGGCACTAGCTTTCTTTAGTGGATAGATAGATAGATACTTGTGCTGTGCTCTCTCAGATTTTTTTGCTTATTAATCTGTTGTTATCAACTAACTTGTTACAGTTTTTCCTGTTTTGTTGTAGAAGTCATTGTCATCATTTCCTCCTTATTTTGTGATTTGTTTGAAGAAGGGGGGCTCTCTGTAAAAGGCATACTTGCCCCTTCCCACAAATGGATGATTGTAATTTGTACTAAGTTTTATACATTAATATCACAGAAACACTTTGGTGTAAACTCAGATTCCATATGAAATTGAATGGCAATAAAAAGATAATCCGAGGAGACCAAATACTAAAAATAACAATAACAAGATCAAAACCCAGACGGTTCAGATTTAGCAAACTTCAATCTATTGCCCAATAGAGAAACTACCATATTTGTTTCTATCTAAGAAACTCTGATTTCCTTACTTATCCCCACATTTCCTAAACACAAATGTAAAGAGAAACACATGTTTCAATTAACCAAAACATGATAATAACACACATTTCGTTCTTGCCACATTTTCACATCAACCAAACAGCACAAATTGAAAGCAATTGATGAAATGGCGAAATCCAAAGCTATGCTATGTCAAGTCCAAATTACTACCCAAACTACATTACTTAAGCAATCAAACAAAGCTTAAGTACATAACAAGGTGAAAATCTGTAAGCAATTAAGTTGAAACATACCTCTCTTTTCGTTCTTGAATGTTCTTCATCTGAGCTCTGTAGTGGTTCTCTATGAACTGTTTGGCTGCTGCCACCTTCTCCATCGTCAAGCTCGACCCCAAGACCTCCTCTTCCTGCTCCTCTCGATCCTCCATTACAGTCTATGTATCGTCTCTTTCTCTCTCTAGAGAGTATCAGTTTTCTCTCTCTCTAGAGACCCACTCTGGAGCTCGGTTTTATTGCAACGACGAGCAGTAGATGATGAAAGAGAACCTTAGAAAACCTCTTTCGTTCTAGCTTCCATTTACTCACTCCTCAACCGCCATTCGCATGCCACGTGTTCGGGTCGTACTTTTCACTCTGACTCATCTTGACGTGGCGGGGACCGATTGACCGGCAGTGGCGAGCTCAGGGAGTTTCGAAGCAGGCGATCGGAGCTGGTTGATTTCTTTATCAATAATTTTCACGATCGCTGCCACAGGATGAGTGGTGGAAGCACGCGCTTGCAAGTGGGAGTGTGACGCACTCCACGTTGTTGTGAGGGAAAGTGTAGTTGTCATATTTAATGACGCTTTATCACATTTTTTAACGTGAAAAGCACAAAGACGGCCCCGTAAGTTGGCAGTGATTGGGGCGTGAAGCGCACTCGCCTTTCATAGGATGTGGATCTGTTCAATGTCCAGGTCAGTGATGTAGTGTCTCTGCTAGAACACCCTGGACCTCGTGTTGTAATTACCGTGCAAGTTGTATCCCCTGTGGACAGGTCTAGATAGAATAGCCGTTTTTTCTTTAATGGTCTTTTGTGCGTTATAATTTAGCGTTAATTATTTCATGAAAAATCTTACGGTGAATCGTGTGTAGAGTAGACTCATGATTGATTTTTAATCACCATTATTGAGTTCTGATTATCAATGCAAGTGCAACACAATCGCATATCTCTACTCATCGCTCTTTTTTATTGCATTAAGGCTCAAAATTTACTTACTTATATAGATAAGAAAATCATATTAGCTGTGATAATATATTGTGGAAAATATATCATGTTATAAATTTCTTATATAATTCAATTTTATTTGAAAAAGGAAAGGTTTGTCTTTCAAATTATGTGTAAAAAACGAGGTCTAGCTCAGTAGAAAATGACTTTGATTTACAGATCAGTGGTCATATGTTCGAACTCCTATGGCACCTTGGTAGTTTGTGTGGGAAAAATCCTCATCTCCTTATAATTTAAACTATCGTTTGTATTTTAAAAAATTATGTAAAATTAAAAATTCCCTACTTAAGACACCTATGTACTTACCCTAGTAAAAAGCCTTTCTTTTTTGTTCAATAGAGGCCCAAGGCCAAAGCCCAAACGTCAAGGAAGAGACTGACCAATTCGCCCAGCCAAGTTGACAACTAACTACCAGTTGCAAATTCGGAATTATCCCTTTCTATTTTGGGTTGTTTGGCCTGCGATGTATGGACTTTTTATGTTTTCGCAGGCTGAGTTCCTCGGATCAAGTGTGTACAGTTGTACAGCTCTTCCAACCATTGTGTGGGAAAAATCCTCATCTCCTTATAATTTAAACTATCGTTTGTATTTTAAAAAATTATGTAAAATTAAAAATTCCCTACTTAAGACACCTATGTACTTACCCTAGTAAAAAGCCTTTCTTTTTTGTTCAATAGAGGCCCAAGGCCAAAGCCCAAACGTCAAGGAAGAGACTGACCAATTCGCCCAGCCAAGTTGACAACTAACTACCAGTTGCAAATTCGGAATTATCCCTTTCTATTTTGGGTTGTTTGGCCTGCGATGTATGGACTTTTTATGTTTTCGCAGGCTGAGTTCCTCGGATCAAGTGTGTACAGTTGTACAGCTCTTCCAACCATTTGCCGGCCAAAACAGCGTCGTATGGATGCCAATTGAATTCGACAGTGCAAACCAAAGGCAAAAGAAGGTTTTTAGCTACTGAAAAAAGCAAGCTTCAACAGAGAGTCGGCGAGAGTCGAGCTCTGAAACTGGTGGAGGTGGCGGTGGAAGACATGGGCGATCCCTACCGTATGTACTTCACTCCCACTGGCACTGACAGAGGTTCTTTACTTTTCCCTCCCCCGCATCCCATGACCGCCAAATTTTCATTTTCCCGAACAAATTGCACACAATTTCCACTCGCTTTCTCGCATTTCTTAGCATCCAAACAAACCATGACCCCATCAATTGAATGATTTATAATGTATAGCATTTGATTATGTGCATATTATCCTTAATAATCGTTGTGTTAATTGGGTAACTTGTGTTTTTTCCTAATTAATTGCGTTCCAGGCAGTGTTGGAAGGCCAATCTTTCCTGGTTACTTGTCGTCTGAAACACCCTCATTGCTATTCGATCCTACTCTTCCCTCTACTGAGCCTCCGAGTTATTCGTCTGATTTTTTGCAGAGAGATGTAAGAACTTTGTTTAACACCATATGAGTATATATATATATATATATATATGTATATGAAGGAATTTTGTTATTGAATGGTTTGGATGTACTTGCAGATAAGATCATTGACCCCTGGGGCCTATGCTGTCGATGATACTGGGGGCATTAGATTTCGACCCGAACCTATTCTTGGTGTAGCAGCATCAGCAGGAGCTAGCATAAAGGGCTATCCATCTCCTTTGGAAGTTCCAAGTTTGCTAAGCCAGAGACAGGATGCTGCTGCAGTTAGCATTAGTGCAAGTGTTCCTGCTGACATAAGTAAAGAAAGGCCTCCTGGCTCTTTGAGCAATGTTGATGGTCCTCCAGTTCTGAAAGGGGAATCAAACGTTTTGTTTGTTGATGGACTTCCCACCGACTGTACCCGAAGAGAAGTAGGCCGTATCCTTTTGCTCCTGTCGAGGCAACAGACCGTAGATTCAGATTTTATGGATATCGAATTGCCTTGACCGGAATGTGCTCATTATATTGCTTTGTTCTGTCATTTTGAAAACCTTAATTTGCAATGCAGATATATTCCGTCCGTTTATTGGGTTTAAAGAAATCAAAGTTGTTCACAAGGAGCCTAGATGTGTAAGTCTGCGCATTTGCCTGCTTCTATTGAGTAATCTTCAGATTCTTCGTTGTAGTTTCGCATAGTTATTTGTTACTATTGATGTCTGGGTTACTTTACTTTTGTTTGAGCTTTGTCTCCATGTTACGAGACTTTTAAACGAACTGCAGATTGGAGATAAGGCTATGGTTTTGTGCTTTGTGGAGTTTGCTGATCCAAAGTGTGCTTTGACTGCTATGGAAGCTCTTCAAGGTATTATTATATGTGCAATTAACCATGATCCATCCACTTACAGCACAAAGTGTGATATGAAATTTTCCTCTTATCAATTTTACTATATTGGCAGTTAGTGATTGTAATAATATTGTAATAAAGTTTATTTCCGGAAATTGTATGTTACATTCAGAAGCTGATTATGTAAAGAACTTTGTATTGTTTAGAATCCTGTTTAACACAATGAATTGACAAAGCTTCAGCGATTTCTAGTAATATGAGGGAATTCATCACTTATCAAGCTCTGAAATGTGGATGCACGCAGGTTACAAGTTTGATATCAAGAAACCCGATTCTTCTGCATTGAGGATCCAATTTGCACATTTCCCTTTTCGTCTACCAGCCGATGGCAATGAACAACGAATTGGAATCCCACGGTGATGGAAACAATGCTGGGATGAAATCTGCCCGACTTATAGAATATGAGCATTCGTTTTGATAGTGAATTGTGTAAATCAACAATTAGAATGATATACTTAGGTTGTGGAATGCTACACTACACGAGCAGCTCCATACACTAGGGGCTTTAAATCTTGACTTGGCCTCCGCAGATTTCATGGTTGTAGTTTTGAAATGGGTAAGCCATTCGCTAAAATTGCTGCATTGTTTGTTGACTGGGGGAGAGGGGTCTAGACAGTGCAGCTTAACTCAAGTTTAGGACAATGGCACAGGAGTGCCGAAATATGCGGCTTGCTGGAGCCTCTTTCATGATGTCTTTAGTAGGTTTTGACTTCCTATTTGTAAATATGGCATTGGTGTTTATCCAAGGGTCTTCATTTGGTATTGATAGAAATCAAACGAGCTCATTCCGGGCTTCCGGCATAAGATTGCCTTGATCAGAGAAGCGTAGGGACGGTACGCTGGAAGAACTTGGAAGCTATAATGTAAGATCTAAACCTTTGGTACAAGATTCTGGACTGGAAGAGAGGAGACTATCAATGAATATCGTGCAGTACTCTTCAAGAAAAAACAGTTTTGCAGAACGACTAAAAAATGTTTATATATAATAACTAGCAATAATACAAATTATTTTGCATTATGAGGTTGACATCAGTAAAGCCTTTATAATAATAATTTGTTATAAAAACCTATAATAATGTACATCTTCAAATTGAAGTGTTTAGCATGGAAAATGCCTCCTTCTTGGGGGAACTGTTAGTTGGACTTAATTAATGACCTTGACTTGATATAATAACAAGAAAGATACAAGTCCCCACCAAGTCTTTAAGCATTTCTTAAACTTAAACTAAGTAGACTATTAGAAATTGATTAGGAGAAATAAAGCCCCAAAGGTTAGTGAGGAGTGAGAGAGTGTGTTCGCATTTATGGCCTTCTCCTTCTTTGGCCCCTTGGTTTAAGAAAAAATGATAAACTGAGTTGTTGTGGTTGGCACAAAAGAAAAAGGAAAATGCCATGAGATAAATATAATATATTAGGTAGCAAAAGCATGCAACAAAAAAGAATATATATATTTTTGCCATTCAATTTCATATGGAATCTGAGGTTACACCAAAGTGTTTCTGTGATATTAATGTATAAAACTTAGTACAAATTACAATAATCCATTTGTGGGAAGGGGCAAGGTATGCCTTTTACAGAGAGCCCCCCTTCTTCCAACAAGAACAAATCACAAAATGAGGAGGAAATGATGACAATGACTTGTACAACAAAACAGGAAAAATAAAACTATAACAAGTTAGTTGTTCAATCTGATCTGAGAGAGCACAGCAGGGCACAGAGAGCAAACTCTATAGTATCTATGTATCTATTAACTAAAGAAAGCTAGTGCCTGCAAGGCCATGGTGCAAGAGATTATGAGCAATGGCATCCCTAGCCTTCATTGAGCTCTGTGATCTCAAAGCAACCTCTGGAACCATCTCATCATCCACAAGCTCAAACCTCAGCTCTGGTTCAATTTCCTCATTTTTAAGCTCGCAGATGTTGTGCAAAACACAGCATGCTCCGAGCACTACGGGCAAGTCCTGCAGCTTCACCTCGGTTCGCTTTTGCAAGCAATACCACCTCCCTTTCAGCCTTGCAAATGCATCTTTAGCAGCATTCTGAATCTCCCCAATCTTCTCATTGAAGGCATGCTGTGTCCAAGTCAGATGCTGCTGGGTGTAGGGCACCAAAACCCAGTCCATCAAAGGGTACCCAGAGCTCCCAACAATCCAAACGCCTTTCAGCAAGCCATTGTTGGCCCTCTGATGCAAAGCAGACTTCTCCAAAACCTGATCATCAGGCATTGATCCAGGCCAACCAATGCACACATCCGTGAAAACCCCTCTTGGGTCCACAACACCTTGCACTGTGATTGAGTAAGAGGTCTTCTGGTTCCTCTCTGTGTGCCTCTTGTTGAAATAAGCAGCTACACTGATCTTTGGAGCTATAATTGGAATATGGGTTGTGTACATGGACCCCACAACATTGGGTATGCCTGAAATGGCCTCAAACTCATCTTTGATCTTCCTCACCACACTGTCCTCAGGCCATTGCAGATACTTGGGCATGAGCACAGTTCTAATTGCGGAGCAGACCTCAAGAACAAGTTTATGGCAAGTTGAGATGCCAAGACCAAATTTTTTAGATACAAGGCGAAGAGGGTCACCTGTTGCTAGTCTCCACAAGCAAACAGCAACTCTCTGCCTCACCGGAATTGCGTTTCTCAGAGTTGTGTCTTCTTTTTCAATGGCGGATTTGAGCTCCTGGCATATCAAATCGAACGTGGCCCTCCCCATCCGAAACGCCTTCTTGAATTCCGATTCCGGAAAATCGGGTTGGTTGCACTCGTCCCACCAGGCCTTGGACCGGTCCTTGACCCACAGCCTCCTGTGATGACCCGCCGCCGACCCAGTACCCGGTTTCGCCTTATCGGAGCCGTCGGCGGCCACCGCCACAGCCGCAGCCGCAGCGCAAGCCGCGCTTCTCGACCGCTTTCGCTTCATCGTTTCGGATTCTTCGACCTCCGAATAGCAGTCCTGGAAATCAGAGTAGTAATCTAACATGGCTTTGGTTCTCGTCTTGTGCTTCTCTTCAATAAACGACGCGTCGTCATTTGAGGCCCTGTCGTGCTCTTGTTCGTCTTCCTTCTCTTGCTCCTCCAGCAACGACAGGGAAGCGATGATGCCCTTCAAGTCTTTCTTCTTCTTGTCACCATCGTCCTGGTCGTTGCTGTTGTTATTATTGTTGCCCTTACGACGCCGTTTCTTGGAAGTGCCATTATCGTTCATTTGGGTGTGCAGAGAGGTTTGGAGCAGGGTGCAGAGGTAAGTCTTCTGGGTGTGGGCTATTTGGGAGCTCCAGTTTCATATAGCAGCTGAGCTGAGACGTCTGGTCTTGACTGCAACAACAACAATACCAAGGAAATGAAAGGAAGGAGAAGAAGCAAAAATAAACAAGAGAAAGAGAAAAGGTCCTTGGCTTTGAACAGTATAAAATAACCTTAATTATATGTGTGAAACGGAAACACCAGTGTGAACGCAAAGATTGAAAATTTGGATTGGGATTGAGAAAATGGGACCCCTTATTATATTATGCGCATATGTCACTGGCTGTCCACATTAGAATAAGAGAGGAGATTATCTATCATATGCAATGATTAAGGAAATTAAGTCCTATTTAATTAAGATTTCGTTTGTAAATATTTTTGTAGGAAGCACTTCTGTTTATAAGGTGTTTTTTTATAAAGCTTTTTGTGATCCAAAAGCACTTATAAATTGTTATGCTAACTACTATTTTAAATATTTTTAATTATCAGAACTCGCTTTTAGCCATTTTAGAAACACTTCAAACCAACAACTAGACATCGTCGAGACACTTGTAAATTGATCAGGAATTGGGTTGGAAATTAAATGCGATGAGAGGACTAGAATAACATGGCTTTTTGTACAAAAACGTTGACTTGGGGCCCGTTTTGCGTGTGAAAATGTGGATAAAATAAGAGCGTTTAAAAGGTGTCAGGTGTGAACGCGGGTGTGGAGCGGCAGTGGTTGGTGGGTGTAAGACGGTGACTAGGGATTACCTGGAACTTAGGAAATGCTTTCTTTTCGCATTTTTCGTGGTTTTATTTTGGAAAGTCTGAATGGGAATGTTACTTTTGTGAGAATAACAACTCCAAACTTCAAACCTTTTTGACAATTCCAGTATTTTTTTTTTGGGCGCAACAATTCCAATAGTGTTTGGAAAAGTATTTGTGTTGGGCCTGATGAATGGAACCATAGATCTGTGGGCCAGTATGATATTGTGGAGCCCACAACTAATCCACATCATGCTGACATGATGACATTTTAAGGGTTTGTTGTTTTAAACTGTTGTAAGAGAAGAACTCTTTGTTCGGACACACAAACTCAAGTGCATAGATATCTGCTTTTAATTACTTGAATTACAAATTCCTCAAAGATTAATATTTTATTTAATAAAATAAATATAATTCATATTAATCTCAAAATGTCGTGTATGACTTAGGTATTATTAGTTACGAGTTCCACCAAAAATAATTTATAAAACCAAAAGGAAGTTATATATAATATGAAGATTGCAGATGAAAGATTGGTATGGAGTCCATGCTTGTCCAACAAGATAAGAAAAGCGGTGTAAAGCTTTCAACTCCTCTTACTCGTTTTGATTTGCCAACAGCTTCATTGGAAACCTTTTCCACATGTATTTAATATTTTTAATTTTGGAACATTACAATGTACAGTTGGCTACAATACGGTGGGCCCCCACGAGGTACCAAAATTCAAACATATACACTACTTTTGACCATACGCAATAGAACAATTGTTGAAAAGCTATTTTCATTGTCCCAATTTCCGGAGAAAAAGAAAAAAGTAACAAATAATTATTAACAAAAACATTGTAATCAAGAGGCGGTCCAACTGAGGTTAAAAAGGGAATAACACTGCGAATTTATCGACCAAATGAGGAACAGAGGACATGTTTTAATGTTGTACTCTTCCAAAGATTCTCGTTTATTATTATAATCCAACATTAGATTGGTAATTACGTTGTCTAATATTGGCTCAGCAGTTTTATTTATTTATTTATTTATCCAAAGAAACAAGACCTGTCTTTCCAAGTTTTTGGCTACAGATGAAAAAAGACGACAAGTTCCGAGAAAAAAACCAACGTTTTTCGCAAGTCTAAGAAACAAGTACAATCGTTGAACAATACTGTTGACCTGGTCGACCAAAGGCCATGCAGTTTCATGTACTGTGTCCAGCTAACGGGCCTTGAACGGGTCCAAATTACTAACGATATTATTGGATTTTTGCTGCTCAAGCCGGACACGGATTGGTTTAAATAAATCCCCGTCCAAGATGAAATCCTGGGTCAGATGTTTTGTGGGGTCGGCTAAACTCCAATACGATTTACATAGACATTTGAATAAGCAAAGTCTAGATATGTTAGGTCTAGAACATTTGAAATGGTAAAGCCTGCACTGCAGTTTAACAAGATATCTTAATGCATAAAATGAGAAATTTGATTTGATTTTCCTACAACAGCCTCATTAAGACTTGTTTGAAGTATATACAAATACAACACATTAGAGCTGTCTAACCTAATCTGGAGCAAAAAAGTCTAGGGTTAGTTTCTTGAAAATGTGGCAACGGTGCACAGTTTCAGCAGGCATGCAACACAGCAAAGACAATGGCATGTAATTCTCATAGCTTCGATTCAGTTTCAAATATTCACAAACCTGTAAAGTTGGTGCATGGCAGAGATGAGATCAAGTAAGGGATTTGCCAGCCCATTCTCGCTCTCGTCGCTTTTGCTTGGCTTGCATCCGGTTGAACTTCTCTTTCCCCTTCTCCAAAAGAGGGTCATGCACAACATAGTCATTTGGGTCCTCATTGCGAGACATGCGATCCTGCGCAGTGATTTACAGAAAAATACTTTAAGCCATAGAAAAGCAGAAATCTAGATGAAGAGCAAATTGATATTTGTTCAAAGAATATTTAAAATGCTAAGAGGAGTCTCTTTTCATTAATTAAATTATGTCATTCCATTTGCATATGCGGATGAAATAATCTAATTCCATTTGCATTTTCATTAACTACTTTCCTGATTTGCATTGTTTCCGATTCAAATGAAATGGCATAAACAAATATGAACTGGAGAAGCTTACCTTCCCACTCTCAGGAGCAAATTTTAACCGAAAGGAGTCTCTTTTCATTAATTAAATTATGTCATTCCATTTGCATATGCGGATGAAATAATCTAATTCCATTTGCATTTTCATTAACTACTTTCCTGATTTGCATTGTTTCCGATTCAAATGAAATGGCATAAACAAATATGAACTGGAGAAGCTTACCTTCCCACTCTCAGGAGCAAATTTTAACCGAACCGCTTTCCAATCAGATGCATCTTCATCTTTGCCACCTCCAGATTCACTACCTGAGGCTGTGCGACTTTCAAATATACCCTTCTTAAACTTCTCAAGTTTTGCCAGAACCTAACAGCATCCAATCCGTAAAAACAGGGTTATATATATATACACAATAAAGTAGCTTATGGTAAATAGTTATACAAATCAATTATAGATATGCAGTGAGTGCAGTCCCAAATTCCCGAAAACAGGGACTTTTCAATGCACAATTCATGGGTTCTGTTTCATTTAGCCAGCTGATGGAATCCATTACTTGCATCTACTACATTATCATGTTTAAATAGATTTTAAAAATAGACAATTTCACCTACTCCGATGGTTGAAGGGAGGACAAGAAAGTAAATATGTAAATCAAGAAAACAATACATAAAAGAGCCAATCACACATAACATACTTCATCTTCTCGTCCTTGATTTCTACGCTTCTTCTGTTTCTGTAGTTGTCTTCCTCTTTCAGCTTCACCCAACAACTGTAAGTCTGCATCAGCATTTGCCATGCGTTCAGCTCGTGCCTCTGATCCTATCCCTTTTTTCTTCAAGGATAGTTTTTCCACCTTTTGTTGATCATCATTAATGTTTTCAACAATGGACCTGGCAAGAAGGAAATGAAGAGATTCTTTTGAATATATTTTCAGATGTGTCAGTCTTCGTAACAGTGCTTAAAACAAAAATCTGCCAAAACATCCCCAACACCCAAAACTTTGCCTCGAAGTACATTTTCGCTCATTATAACATTAAATTGAAACTGATAAAGCCATGAACTCTTTGAAGGAATCCTTGCAAACAAATATAATGTCAAGAAAATTTCCAATATCTTTACCTTGATGCAGGTGTTTCACGCTGATTTGGGCTAGAGCTCCCTGCATATGCATGTGATAGGTTAAGAACATGGGCGTATATTATTAAGGAAATAAAAAGAATGTGTCAATTAAAAGGGATTATGCATTCATTATTCCTCATAAGGAGAAAATTTAATACATTGAGGACAATTAGGTACCATTATGCATCTTTGGCTTTGGTGGGAGATCTCCCAAATCCTTTCGTTTCCTGAGTATTTGCTGACGCATTCGTGCATCAAAGTTGGCCTCATCATCGTCATCATCGCTATAATTGAGTGTATTATAAAATTTGGATTCTGAGTCTTTCCCAGGCTCATCTTTCTTTGAGCTTAGAGCTTCTCTGACAGATAACTGTACATGCCTTGTTTTGGCATCAGAGTTCTGCATTCAAAACATTTGCCGGAGGTAAGTTCTTTGGATGATCCTATTATATGACAGACAGAATATGCATATGTAAACGATGAAAAATGTTAGCCAAGTTGGTTGTCAGGACAATATTTACCTTAGTAGTAAGATTGATGGAGGATAAATCTAGAATAGTAGTAAGATTGATGGGGGATAAATCCAGATGTGATTTCATAAAGATAAAGAGTTATGCACTTCATATTAAGCAATAATCACATTCGCAAGATCAGAAACCCTTAGACCTAAAAAATAGCAACATTTCAACCATTCTATATAAACAAGGCATAACAAGAGATACAGGATAATTACCACGTCATTAATTGGAACTTCGTCCTTCAGAAGACGAGGATCATCCAATACATCATGACTGCTCTTGATTTTTGTCTTTACAGCTGCCAATTCTTTCTCCTCTTCTTCAGCTTCTTCTCCAAACGAAAGCAAGTTCAGCTTTCTGCATTGTGGAAACAAGGCACGCACACAACATACCCCGTAAGTGTAATGACATTTTTGACAACATATATTGTGGCATCACTGCATTTATTTTCACAGACACAGGTAAACATAAACAGACACGCATGAGTTCCATCAGGAAAGGAAAAAGCTTACTTTACAGCTTTCTTCTTCGTGTCTTTGTTGTCAGCGTCATTGGTGGATTCCGTCGATGGCTTTGCACGTACTCTTGGAACAATATCATCAAAGGGGTTCCATAACACCTAAAACAGGGATTTTAACACCAAAACAAAATTTCAAATCACATAAGCATATAGAAAGAGGAAAGCTTAAGGCTTACTTAAGGATCATGTTTAGCTACCTCTACTGATAGTATCCTTGGT